TTAAAGAACATTCAACAATTAGAGAAACCCCACAGAGAGATCGTCCCCTAATGAGGTGAAGAGGCTGGATGCAGGAAGACGTTCAGACCATGTGTTCAGTGTGGTGCCAACAGACTCGTTGGCGTGTTTTCCTCTAAACTGGCCTGAATAAGTTTGTAGAAGTTCAAGATTTGCTTGTTTAAATGATAATTTCTCAGTCTAAATTGGAATTACACAATTAAATCATATTTATAAAACTCATTGTTAATGTTCAGTACAGAGGAGTTTTTAAGTTAAAAAAAAGTGTTTTTTTTTTTTTAGAATTACCTGACCAAACATCTGCTCTATTAACTTCTTCAAATTCGACTGGAATTTGAACCTGGCCACAAGGACGAGCTAAATGTCTTCAGTTGAACTATTTTATGACCAGAAAAGATAAAATGTTTGACCTCAATGCAGAGATGTACTATAAGCTTGCACGATTCAAAGAAGCTTTTAAACACAAGCATGCTGTTCCACTTCCAAAGCATGGTAGTGGCAAGAGCATCCTGAGGGCTGTGTGACCATCAGTGGTGCTGGGGCACCACATGGCGACTGATTCATCAACAGCAGGTATTCAAGTCAGATCAGGTCCATATCCAACTTGCTTTTGTGCCATAAATCAAAAAATCATTCTCTTCATAAGTTAAAAGAGTCTACAGTTGTTTATTAGCTTTAGCATTTAAGATAGTTGTCCTGTAATTTTTTCTAAAAGCTCCACAACTGTTTACTTACAGTTTTCAAAATCTGCAGTCCTCATTTATGTTGCAGCCCAAGTCATGGTGAGTTTCCGCTAAACAGTGTGCTAAACATTATTTTCGTCACAGAGGTGACTGAGTAAGATTTCAAGCTTACAGATTTGACAGACAGATGGGGTTCAAAAAGCGCCAAATTTAGAAAAAAAAATGAGAAAATGAAGCATAACACATTTGGCTCCTAAAGATCCTCGTTCGGCAGTGAGCTGAACATTTTGCTGAATGTCTCCTCCAGGTGATGCTGACACTAATGCAGCCCTGGAGCTGTAAAGTCTACTGAGCTGTTTTTATGTCTCCCCATGGCATTGAAATCATCCTGTGGGTCACAGGGTGAAGATGTTGCTTCTTATCACCAAGACAACGAGATCACCTCGGAATTGGCAGGTTTCCATAGCGACAAAGCATCGCTGATCAATACTGGTTGTTTGGTTCTTACCTGTCAGGGTTTCATCAAAAGGTGAAGACGGTGGAACAAAAGATCAAGTCTTTCTCTAAATAACATAATTTAGTCTAAACATCACTGTTACCTTCAGCTGGAAATACAGTGGCTGCAGCCTATGAAAAAATATGATGCATGGAAAATGCATCTTCATTTTCTTATTTCTAAAACAAATGCTATTAAAAAAATATAATTTGAGCAAAAGAAAAGTGTCAAAAAAAGCAGTGTTCAATGATTATTTTATTTTATTGACAGAAAGGATGTCCAACCTGTAGCTATGTGAAAAACTAATTAGTCCATAATCAGATTACAAAAACTGATTAATAATTTATTTGATTCATTCTAATTAGGTCTGATTACTGATTAACTGTATAATTAAGTACCTGTCTGACAATATGGCTCTTGGGCTAAAAGATCTACAAAAAGCTGCATGTCTGGAAAGAGTTAGAAAACCTTTTTCTAAGGCTTTTGGTTACAAATGAACAAAAATGAAAGTCATTATTCATGAATAGAGAACATCTAAAACTGACAAATCTTCCCAGCAGTGTCTGGCTCACCAAAACATCTGTGGAAGATGTATCCAGGAGTCTCTAAAGTGGTGCAGACCCCATTTACCTTGGCGAAGGTCAGTGTTCATAATTTAACAAGAAAGAGACCGGGGGGAAATGGCCTCGGTGGGAGAGTCTGAAAATCACTGCTGACAAAAAAAATAACAGCAAGGCCTGTGTTACGTTTGTCATAACCATTGATGATCCTCAGAACTCTCACAGTGCTGTAGGGCTGCCTTTTTAATCAGCAAAAGCAGTTTAAACAGATCAAAACTGAACAGCAGATGAAAGAAACACATCTGCAGCTGGTACACTTGTCCTGATTCTTTCTTGTAATCTCTTCATGCAGTCTGTAGAGGAAAATGTATATTAAATTTATTTAAAAACATAATAATAAAGTCTGAGAGCTTGGATGGAAAATTCAAAGAAACCAGGGATAGATTAGATTTTTCTAAAATCACTCTTCAAGTTTTTACTTGGAAAAATCTTCAGAAATAAAACGCCAGCCAACTAGCACTGAGGGTTCCGAGTCTAACCTTAAATCCAACACTTTTTCCAATCCCAATTACAACTCTAATTCAAATCCGAAGACTTTAATCCTAACACTGACAAGGGTTTGGGGCAGCGTCCTTCTAACCTCCTAAACCTAATTCCAAAATCTGTTTATTTAAAAAAGAGCAATTGTTCTTCTGGAGGCTTTATCTAGGAAAGAAATACAAATTAATTAGTACTTTGTCTAGGATGAAAACCAGAGTATGTACAGTTAGTGGTAGCAGTGGATACAATTGCTTGACTTAAAACAGAAATGGGTCCAGGTTTACAAGAGGCGATAAAGTGATTGGCTGCGTAGGCCAGGAGGTGAATTGGGCAACACAAAAACATCCAGTGTGGCTTCTATGAAGGGGAATAAAACTCAACACAGCTGTATTATCTTCATTAGTTCAACCAAACATGTATTTTTAAAGTTGGAATGTAAAAACTGATAAAATGAAACATTAAATAAACATATAAATCTTATTCTGAGTCTCTTCTATGCCAAACAGGAACTAATAAAGGGCCACAAGTCTGAAATAAAAAACACATTTACACATAACATGATTTGTTTCTAATTTTATCTATTGATGCTCTCCAGCCCACCATAACAGCGGTCCAGTTTTCTGTTTCTCCTCTTCGGTTGTTCCACCTGAACGTAATAAACTCTGTTCCTTTACAATTTAATGTTCAAAATCCTCTTCTTAGGTAACCTCAAGTTTAAGTCTGAACATTTAGTTCATTAGTCAAGGCTTTATGGTTTAAACACCACATGAAAAACAACAAATTCTTTTTGGGCATGATCTTCTGAGTATTGGAAAATGAGAACAATATTAGTGGAAAATGTAATTTTTACTTCAATAAAATGATTCCTAAATAGCTGAAAAATGAAAACCTGACATAAAATAGATGATCAGCTAAAGAATAAGGTGTCTTTTCCTGTTAAACACTTTTCTAATTTCCTGTTGCATAACTTTCACATATTGTTTTACACTAGCATTTTATTGTTCCGTCAATTTTTAGCAACATGTCAAATGCATCTAAATTCTCTCAAGATAGATCAAGAAAAGCATTACCAGGGATGGATAAGAGATGGATGAAATGCAATATGTAGTTCACTGGTCAGTCAGTAGTGAAAGCTGGTCCATATAAAGCAATATTTGTACTTAGAACTGCTTTCAGAAGAATGGTTCAGCAGTGGATATCAGGATTTCTGACCACAATCAGAGAATTATTGCATGTTCATTTTTACCAATCAGTTACTCAAAATGATCAGAGTATCCTGTTTGTAGCAGTGATCAATTGAAGACATAACTCACAGAGAGGCTCAGAGTGAATGCCAAGATTACAAATACTTAAAGCCCAAGTGCAGGTGAAGGAAACACTGAGTGTCTATGTATGTGTGTACTAATATGTGTTTTATTCCCCACATTGATGATGCATAATATACTTAGATAGATGTAATTTGTTTTCTATATTTAAGTCACAGTGAGATGTTTCAGAGTAATCACCGTTTTCTTTTGACCACAGTATTTTTCAGATATTTTAGGCTCTCAGAAGACTGTCAGAGTAAATTACTATTAGATCTGCACTCCACTGGGCAGCAGGGGGTGACTCCTGGTTATGCACTGCAGAGGTTGGAAAATATGACTGTACTATAACAGTCATATTTATTGGGCTCAGAACTTGAAAACCTATATCACTTTTAAAAAGACTTTCAAGTTTTACTGAAAAGTTTGGGAAAATCAAACATTTAATTTATCAACACATCTCCACAGCCTCATTTAGCAGTAGTGTCCCTAATATTTCACAAGATTGGAGCAATACATAGAAAGATATGGGCATTCCATTCACAAATCCTCTACATCTTATGCACCCTGTTATATATAGTTGAAACCAGATATTTACACACAATGTGTCAAAACACAATCATTCTGAAGAATGATTGTGTTTAGGTGCAATTTCCAGATATCTGAATGTGCCACATTTGTCTTTTCAAATATTTATGCACAAGAATGGTCATTTTCCACCATACTGTTTAGAAAGTGGACACAGCCAGTGTGTGTAGAACCAAAAGAATAAATCACAACAGAAACTAAAGGCTTCATCAATTCTGAACAAGGATGAGAGATTAAACAGAAGCAAGAAAGAAGTCCAGTTACCTTCTTAAGTATTTAGGACTGACCTTACCTCTCTACCGCGGGGACTTTTTTTTCCTTTTGTACCTTTTCTGCTCGCTTGTTTTTGTTTTTGTTATGATTCAACATAACAATGTGTGACTGATGACCTACACCTTTAGTGAGGTTGATATATGTCAAATAGATAAATCTACATTTGGGTAGGAACAACATTTTGGTCTTTTGTTCACATTTTGAAACTCTGAAAGATGAATTGGCACCAAATTGACTTTATGTTCTGCTGTGTTCCTGTGTTCTGTTTTTGTTTCAATGTTGAACTCAGTTTCAAACTCTGAAAAGTCAGTAATTCCCAGGCAGTCAGTAAAGTCATTAACCATCTTCTATGATGGTTCAACACCTAAGGTTATGCCTTAATTTCAACAACAATAATACATAAAAACAGTCCGCATTTTCCTTCAAAGTTCCTTTTTCACTTTTTTTTTTTTTTTTACCAATTAATAATAGCAGCAAAAACAGTAATATTTACAGAATTTGTCATTTTTAAGAGACATTTCTCAGAGTTTCTCTTCTGTCAGGTTGCAGTGGAAGCTGCTTCTTCCTCTGAGGGTCTCGTCTCAATATTGCTGACTGTGTTCACTGCCTGGATGACGTGCACCCTGTTCTCCTCCCTCCTCTTCCTCGAGCAGCTGAAAACGTTCTGGAAACCTTTGCGGAAATGCTTGGAGACGAGTGCGTAGACTATAGGATTGAGGCAAGAGTTGGCATAGGCTACCAAATGGGAGAGGATGCGCAGGGCATACGTTGTGTGGTTGAGCGGGAATTGTCCAAACCACATGCAGAGGATGATGAGGTGATGAGGGAGCCAGCAGAGACAGAATAGAGCAGCCACAATCAGGATCATTTTGGTGACTTTCCGCTTGGAACGCCTTGACTCTGACTTGTCTTTGACAGGATCTACGCTGGTCCACAAGTAGCGGATGGTGCGAGCGTATGTGAGGCTGAGCACCAGGACCGGGATGAGGTATCCAAAGATGAAGGTCCACAGGTCCATTATGAAGCGAGGTTTGTGCTCCCAGGCAGGAATACACAGCAAGGTGCCATCAAGGTCCATCTGAGAGAAGTAGCTGAGGTATGGTGTGGAGAAAACCAAAGCCAAAGACCAAACCAGGCAGATGGAGATGAGGGCATTCTTTGGAGTCCTCATCTGCCGGGAGCGAAGTGGGTAACATATGGCTAAGTACCTGTAGAAACAGAAGAAAGAACTTCTGAAATGGATGAATGACTAAGCTGGTTGAGAGATAAAAGTTTGTGTTGTTCTCAGAAACCTCAAAGTTAACTTTTGAGTCAATGAAAAGTGACCAAGTCCGAGCTGCTGGAGCCAGATCAGATGTGACGTACGATGTCTCTGGCTAACACATGACCACAAACCTCAATATTAAGCATTTCTTATTAATCTGAAGTACATCTCATAATTAGCCATCTGGTTGGGAGGAACAGACTCAGTCTTATGTTGAATCATTAGCACTGAGGTTATGCCTTAAGAGACACTTTCAAAGTCCTAATGAGCCAATTTGCACCAAGTAGTAAGGAATTTAATTAAACTATAATTCAGTTCAGTCAGTTTATTTATGTAGTACCAATTGAAAATAAATGTCTCAAATATATATATATAAATTACAGGTAGACTTAAAAATAGAATAAAATCTCAATTGCTAAAGTGATTCAATCTCATTAAAAAAATAAAAAGAAAAGATTAGGTTGGTCTTTCAAAATAAAGTTTAAAGTTTCTAATCCTAGTAATATCTTCAATATTTTCTACATCAGATGGAAATTAAAATGAAAACGTTTGCTGCCTCCATCACTGCTGACGATGAAAGCGGTCATTAAAAATCGAATAACACTTCAATCAATCAATCAATAAAATTTTATTTGTATAGCACATTTCAGCAGCAAGGAATTTCAAAGTGCTTTACATCATCATATATATAAACAATACATTGTTACGTATTACGTTTTAAATACAATTCTAAACAGGTGTGTTTTTATTTGAGATTTAAAGGAGGGTTTCCGCTGTTTTACAGTTTTTTGTTTGAAGTTCTAAATTTTTGGTGCATAGATGCTGAAAGCTGCTTCTCCTCTTTCGTTCTGGTTCTGGGGATGCAGAGCAGACCAGAACCAGAAGACCTGAGAGGTCGGGAAGGTTGATACAACAACAGCAGATCTGTTGTGTGATTTGTAACTAAACCGTTCAGTGATTTGTAAACTAACAGCAGTATTTTAAAATCTATTCTTTGAGCTACAGGGAGCCACCTAAACATAGTGTCAAGCTGCAGTTGCAATAAAAGCCTTGAAATATATTATTTCAACCAGAAATAACTAATGAACAGAAAGATAAAAGAGACATTTACGAGCCTTGAAACAAAGTGCAGTGAGGGGCTGGGTTTTAATCAGGCTAGACTTTTGCATGAACTGAAGCTCTTTGTTCATCCTCCTTTCACAAAGACAAAAAACAAACTGTGACAGACTTTTAAAATCAAGGTTTGTTTTGAGGTTTTAAAGCTGTTCACTCAAAATAACAGAGCTGATTTGTCAATTTGTCAAGAAAAAATATCAATAAAAAGATTAATCAGAGTGCCATATATACTGTTACGGTTACAGGCAGTAACATCAAAATTTATTTCGGAGCTTTTTGAAATGAACTTTCATATCTGACAAACTGGAAACGTTTTCTGTTGATTAACAACGAAAAACTTTCACATTTTTTTTTATTCTCAGACTGCAATTTGGTTTTACTCTTTGCAGGTCCTCTGATGTTCAGCTTCTCCATCCCAGCTGTCTGTGGTATATCTGTCAGATGCCACAGACTGACAGACTGAAGACTTTGAACATGTCCCTCTTTGATGGAGCTCTCACGCAGGAAGCGGAGCATATCTGATGCTGTGGAACTGCTGAGCTGAATACCGGGAGTGAAACTCAGCGTGACGGCGTTTGAGAGATGGCAGTAGATAGTTTATAATCGCATTTTTATTGCATTGTACTTAAACGCCACGTATTTTACTTAACTTTGTAGTTTTCTGGACTTACGCACATTTTATTTTATTTTATTTTATTTAATCTGACTTGTGCTTAAACTAAAACTGTATTTTGGACTAACTCGTTAAAACCTAACATTTACAAGAGAATGTGAAAAATATGATTCAAGTTGCGCACCTGTCCAGGGAAACAGCGGTCAGCGTGAAGATGCTGGCGTACATGGTGAGGAAGATGATGAAGTGCACGGCTCTGCAAAGCACCGGACCGAAGACCCACTGGTCCAGGGTGTAGATGGTCGCTTGGAACGGCACGCAGAAAACAATGAAGCAGAGGTCGGCCACCCCCAGACTGAAGATAAACATGTTGGTGGTCTTGGTGCTCATCTGTCCGTTGCGGCAAAGAACCGCAAGGACCAGAGAGTTCCCCGCGATGCCGAGCAGAAAGATGAGCGAAAATCCCACCGAAATCAGCACGGACTCCGCTTTCCACGCGGAGGAGTTCGTGGAGGACAGATTCATGTTTCTCTACTATTTTGGTTCACTTGGTTTGATTTGCGCACAGCAGCTGCGATGCGCGGCTCCTGGCGGCGCACAGCTCATTACGCACTGCACCCAGACCACAGATCCGAGTGGATTTAGCTATGATATGCCCTGTGCTGCAGAGAGAGAGGCTCCCATCTCTGATGTTCCCAAACTGAAGATGTTTGAACAGTTGCAGCGAAGGAAAAAATCAAGTTCATTCAGGCACTTCTCAAACAAACAGAAAATGGGTTTTAGATATTAAAAGAAGAGCGCTTAGAAAATACAAACATCTCTAAAATAATACTGAGAAGACGGACATAATGTTATACCAACTAAAATGAATGTTAATCAGTCCCTTTCCTCAAAGAACTTGTCTGTAATGAGCAGGTTTTGCCTTGAAGAAAACTGAGAAATTTGCAGCTGCTGCCTGAATTAATAAGTGAGGTAATGCTGCCCTCTTGTGGACAGATTGCATCTCTGCACAAACATTAGGGAAATCAATAGCCCCAAACTGTGAGGCATGAAAACGCTTATAGCTATTTGGAAGAATTGACAATATGGTAAAGACAACATTATTTAGAAATATAAAGATATATATATCTATATATATTGATATATATATAGATATATATATCAATATATATTGATATATATATATAGATATATATACTAAAAATAAGGAAGATCAGAACTAAGAACATATTATTTCATTTAAACAATTATTTAATGAATTTCTGTTAAAATAAACTGAAGCACACTAACCATGCATATTTGAAAAAGAAAGAACATTTTCTTAGTCAAAGACTTTTTAGGTCACCAGAAAAGTGATCCGATATAAACACACAAAGGAAAAATCAAGAAATGTATCCTTAATGACATGCGTTATCACAGGTTTCACAGTAGTAACATCACTCTTAAAAATGTGGTACTTTTAAACTTTCTATTTGAGTTGTCATTATTTTTTAGGGTTGAGAACAAAAACAAAAACAAACAAAAGGGGGAAAAAAAGCAATAAAAGGGCTCACAAATTATTTGGACTGCAATTTGAAAATTAAATGCACACAAATTTAAGGTGTTTGACGGAAGTTTGCATGATGTCACCTTGATGCCCCCTTTGGTCATTTATCAGTCTGAAAACTTGGAGTGTAAAGAACTTTGAAAAGACATTTGTCCCTAAAATAAATGTTCTAAATTCCTCTTTTTGTCAAACTGAAATGTTTCAGATCATCAAAAATCAGTAAGTCGATATCTGGATTTAAACAAAGGTGCTGCGGCATCATCTGAAGCAGGCTATTTACACCTGAAAACTCTCCAGTGTTTAATAGAAATGAAATAAATATGCACAGAAAAGTTGGCCAAAATTCACAACGATGTTAAAAGGCTCAGTGTAAATGCCTGACTGTATTTGTGTTCTTTCAAATGGTATATTATGTCCTCTCACATAGGGCCACAGTTTTTTAGGATAGTTCACCTGATTGCTAAAAATGGGTCTTATGACAAAAACAACACTTTCACTGAAGCACTTTGTCTTTAGAACTCACTGTCACAGACTTAAAACACTTATTTTGTCCACCTTTTGATTGCAAATCATCATGTTTGCATTGTTAATTAAAATGAGATTTGCAGGTTACTTTTATAGTTGCCTGAAAGCTTTTCATGGTTATGGAAGTTAATGGAGCTCAATGAATGTTAAAGCAGAAACGCGGAGATGAAGAATACAGACTAATTATTCATTTTAATCAGTGATCTAAAACTGTCTCAGTGCAACACTCAGGTAATAAAATTAAACAACAATATCAAATATTTTACTTGCCATTTGATTTTGGACGGAATATAAATGGCATGCTGGAGGTTAACTGATAGGACTCATTTAACACATTTATTTTAATAAATTAAACTGAAGTGAAGCATGACAAGGAATCCAGGTTCTGTTCCTATCCTTCTTACATTTGTGAGTGAAAAAGTGAATCGTTCTTCAGTGAAGAAATGTGATGAGCTCATTGTGCAGAGCTGCCAAAACTCATGAGTAGAGTTTAGTTTACTAACATCGCAGAAACTCTTTAATGGGACTTCCAGGATGTTCCCTCAGACTAATTCAGACTCTCAGAGGAGGAAACAGAGGGGTTGAGGCAGACGCTTCCTTCTGGTGTTAAAAAAAAAAAGAAAAGCAACTGCACAACTTTAGGTTGTTTTAGGTTGTTTCCATTTGTGCAGCTGTTAGGGTTATTGTGTCCTCATCTGTATGTGTTGATTTTCCGGAAAGATAGTAGGTCATGGTGGGTCTTTTGGATGGAAACATTTCTGAAATAGACAACCAGCTGCTGAAGTGTAGCTGCTGGTGGCAGATCAGCCAAACTGATGACTATGTTTACCTGTTTTTTATAGTTAAAAAGTAGAACTCAGTTTTATTTATTAGGACAAATGTAAGGAGCTCTAAACCATCATGCCATTTTTTGAAGTAAATCTGCTGAAACTAGCAATCTGTAAAGACTGTTAATAATCGTGGTGGTTCATGAGTTCATCCATCAATTTCTCTTTATATAGAATTTTAATAGATTTTTTTTCAAAAATAAATAACACTAAATGTAATTTTAGCCTTTTTAAGGAATCTACATGATTTGTAACTGGAAGCTACAGGAAGATTCTAGAGTTGCTGAAAAACATGAAACTGGAAATTTGGTTTCTTCCAGTAGAGTATCGACTTTCTCCTTTTATTCTACATGTTGTGTTTTACTCTGTGTTTTTAACAGCGCTCTTGATGCAAGTTATAATTTGATCAAATCACTGCATCTCTCACTCAGCGAGGAATGAAAGAGTAAATTATACATTACAGTTGAAAGCTGCACACCAAACATCTGACTTGTTCATATAGAAAGTACAGCAGGACCTGTTTAATTCGTCAAGACGTGTTGATTTAAGCCACGGCTTCCTGTTAATCAGCTGGTGTTCAGCAGGTGGCAGCAGCAGCTCACACTGTAAGGGTTTAAACTCCTCCAACTGCCAGGTGTTTGAGTGCATGTCATCTTATGGTACTAAAGAGTTCATTCCCATCTCAGCATCCTCAAACCCGAACATGACCAGCAGCAGCATCAGCAGCTCGTCTGAGGTTCATTGAGTCACTGAGTTCGTCCGTGTGTTGGGCCTGCAGCGCAAAGTTACAGAGCTTCCGCAATAAAGAAATGCAAACAAATGAAACCTGATAAAAGCCTTCACCAGTTTGCAGTTGTTACAACATTTTGTGAATCGCATTGTTCATCACTGTGTGGTTTTACACCATTCAAAGGCTTTTTGTGATTCCTCTGTAGCAGGATGTAAATCACTCAGGGGAATAAGATCTAACCTGAGTCATGCTACCTCCTGTGACTACCAACAGAAGGAGCCCTGAGGGAAGGAAATGACATAATTGGTGCGTGCCGATTGGCTTGCAGTTTAGGAATGCTGAAAGCAGCCTGCTGGGTGAGACTGTGAAGCAAAAGCTGCAGATTGGAAATGACCACATGTGGGAGTATTTGAACCTTCATCTGAAGAAATCATTAGCGTGCGTGGAGCAGCAGGTGGAGGCAATGGGCTCTGACCAGGAATTAAGATCATGGACAGACTGAATGCACCATTACCTGCAGCTTCTCCAGGGAAGTGGAAATGTCACCACTGTGCAGAAGAAGAAAAAGAAAGGTTAACTTGCAGGGAGCTGTTAGAACTAATCACCAAAGCATGAGGACATGAACAGTGACGGTGTTTGATGTGTCTTTCCTACAGGCTACCGCTCGCACTTCATGATTCCCTCATCAAGCACGACTCCAAACCACAAGTGTCGACACTTCCAAGGAGGCGGTCAAGACGTGTTGACCTCAAAACATCTGGAGCCCGAGTGGCTAAAACGACCAAACATCCGAGTGTAAAAAAAAAAAAAATGCTGATAAACCTCCTGTGATCTCGCACACACACACACGCACACAGCCTTGTTTCGCTGATGGCCCCACACTTTATAAATAGCTTTTAAAATGAGTGTGTGTCCACTGGATAACGTCAGCGCTTTGGGAGAGGAGTGTTTCATTATGAACTCGTACCATTAAAACTTGCTGGCTGGGACAGAGTTTTGGCTCTTGTGTTCCCTCTCAAACTTTTATGAGGCCGGTTATGATCCTAAATCGATGCAGGAAACCGAGGTGGAGGATTTGGGCTCGGTGAGCAGTGCCATGACCTCAGGAATAAAAGGTACTGCTGGTGATGGAGCTCATTTTCTTACACTGAACGTGAGACCACACCCCAATAATGTTTTATGCTTTAATAATGGAAAAAATGTGCCAAATTAAAATTGTTAAGGACAATAAAGAAAAATGGAAGCCTAAAACTGATGAAATTCAGGAAGCTGTAAAAACAAAAATTTAAAAAAAAGAAAGGACAAAACAAAAACTCTGTTTCCTAAATTATTTTGTCACAGAATTGAGTTTTTAATTAGAATAAAGAATTTGCACCATCATCTGTTTTTTTTCAACAAGATGTAAATAAATGGAGACTTAAAGTTATACAGGGCTTATTTTCACCAGGATAATAAAAAGGTTGTTGACAAGGTTCCTGCACAGTCTGAATTTCTACATGAAAAATATTCTGAGAAGAAATATTCTGTCCATCGCTCTGTCCATCTGTCCATCCATCCATGGTTCTTACCAAACTACCAGTTGGTCATGGAAGATTATTTCTCGTAATGAGCCCCGTTCTGCTAGAGGTTTCTTCGTGTTAAAGATGAGATTTTCCTCTCCACTGTCGCTGCATACATGGGGGATTTCTATAAAGTCAACGACACAACGCAATCTGTCACTACATGCTTGTCCAGGAGAAGTGAATACTGCAAGTCAATAACTCGATGCAATCTGCTGGGTTTCCTTAGGTGGAAACTGAGTTTGAACTTGATGAACTCTTTGTGGTAACTACAATCACTTAGATTGTATGTGTAATTTAACTGAAATCACTTTTTGGTGCTACAAAATTGCCCACCT